GTACCTCCTCCATATCACTTTATAACCATTTTCCTTAACTCTAACTGACATTCTTATATACTCTTCTATTCCAAATATTTTTCCAATCATCATCATTTATTTCTCCCAAATCTGATTCCCAAATTAATTTCAAACCTTTTGCCTTCTAATTCAGTTAATATTCTATACATTTTCCCATTTCTTCCTTTCCCTATATATTCTTCATTCATCTCACATTATTTTATAATCATTTAAAATTTTGTTAGCTGTCTATTTTTCTCCTTGAATCTTTCTTCCACTTTTATCCATTTCTCTAATTGCATTAAATTCAACCAATTTAATTTAATATCTGCTAAAATGTTATTTAGTTGTATTATATTATTTCTGATTTTTTCCAGTTTATTTGTAATCCACTACATTTCCCAAATTCATTCAGGTGTAACTATATCCTCTAAATCAGTGTTTTTCAACCACTGTGCCGCGGCACACTAGTGTGCCGTGACATAGTATAAGGTGTGCCGTGGGAAAANATAGCCATTTGTCTGAAACGGTATAGGGTTTCCTGCCTAGGCAGGGGGTTGGACTAGAAGACCTCCATGGTCCCTTCCAACTCTGCTATTGTATTGTATTGTATTGTATTTTGCACTGTTCCAAGATAGTGGGGATTAAATGCCTTTTCTTTCTGTTCTAGCACACATAGGGGAGAAGTAATAACTAATTCCTTAAAAGTGCTGTTTCCTAACATCACATCTTACTATGTTGTGTAATTCTATCATCCTAATTTTAAGTGAAAATTACTGTTACTGCTGAAATATGTGAAATGTGGGAAGGTATTTAATCAAGCCTTCCCAAATTTCTTCTTCTATCTCCAACTGTAAAAAGTAGTAATGGACTATCTGTGATTCTTCTTCAAGTATTCTAAGCAAGGCATTGTAGGGGAAACAGGACTAAATTTATGCTGGATCTTCCAACAGTAACTTTAGTCGCTAAATTTTTTATGTGTAGTTGGTAGTGTGTATAAATGGGCTCAGATGCCTGTGGTCTGCATAGCATAGCAGCCCATCTTGGCCTCTAAAGGTGCCAGCCATTTCTGACCAAACATCAGGAAAACTGCTGTCTAAACCACGGCCACTAAACTCTAAAGCCCAATATTACCCAGCCATCTGCACAGATCAGGCATCTTTGCCAATCTAGTTCAAATCCTCAGCCTGCCTGTGAAGAGATCACCATGAGCTTTAGACATCTGTGAGAACAAACTGCCTCTCCAACTTTTTGGGATAGACGAGAAGAATAGAGATGTTAATAAACACACCTGACATTTTTCATCATCCATCTGTCATTGCTAAGGGGCTGAGAAGTGGTTTCTTGTCTCATCTCCTAAAAAAACTGTATAGGCAGCATCAGGCTGACACACAGCTTCAGGAGTGCAAGGGTACAAGGCCCAAGCGTGCAAACCTGACTCTCCTTGGCTTAAACATTGCAGGGCACTGTTTTGAGGGATGTGCTGTCCATGTGCCTCTGTGGCTGGTGTGAGATTTGCTGAATGGCTCTGGAAGTGCACGCTCGCTCTCGATCTTAAAGAGCAAAGGAGGACATAAAGGTGGGTCAGGATCAGAAGGTGCCATCATGAAATGGGGGGTCACTTTCAGGCATGGGGGACCATCCACTCCAACAATGCTTTCAGCTGGGAAAGAGGCTCTGCAGAAGGGAGAAGGCAGGCTCAAGCTACCTTTCCTGAAGGTAACCAGGAAAGTGGAGTTCTTCCTCAAACATACAGGTAGTCCTTGATTTATGACCACAATTGAGCCCAAAATTTCTGTTGCTAAGCGAGACAGTTGNCCCCTGAGATATTGGAACACTGCTCTCATGTCTCCCCTAGTTCTTTCTATTAAACTAGACATACCCAATTCCTGCAACCATTCAAGATGTGCTGTGGTTTTGAACACATCTTGAATGACATCAGATTGTGGGAGGGAAATAAGATGGCAGGTTCCTGGGATGTAGAAAGAGAGCTGGGAATGCAATTCATGCCCCTACAACAACCTTCCTACCTTCAGTGTTATGGCAGACACTTATGCCCTGCTGCACAATATGTAATGTTATCTGGGAAGAGCAGCCTAGGACCCAGGACCATAAGTGGTCTCCAGGATAGCACCTTTTTGCAATCCTCACCAGAGTTTTGGTTTTACAATCTGAAGCAGCAGCATCTACTCTCTCTTTCTCGTAGCTGTAATTCTGCTGCTTGCTTCACATTGCATCCTTTGCCAGCTTGACATCAGCAATGGGGGGGGGGGATTGAAAGGTGGGTGCTTAGGGAAGGTTTTGGTTTGAAGCACAGCTGGTCCTGACTCCAAGGATCACCAAAGTCAACAAAAGGAATGTGGGGATGGGGAAGACGTCAACACAGAGTCTGTTTTCCAGAACAACCAGAGAACTTTTAATTGGACATTGACTGATAATGGGGGATGGCCAGGGGAAAAAGGGAATGTTAATTGCATCATTTTTGCACCAGCCAACAGATGCTGCCTGCTCTAAACTGTAACTGCTTTGTTCTCAGTTAAGTATACTCTTGGAAAAAGAAATGAACCAGTCTTTATTTGCTAATTAAACAAGTGGGATGGATGACATCCTTAACACCGCAGCCCCTCATTTCCCTGCAAGCTGAAGCACTGCTGGTGATCTAATATTCTAACTAAATACCAGGCAAAAGCTGCTCTAGGACAGTTTTTATTTGCTCCATCTGTTTAGAAAGCTATTTGTTTCACAAGACTTTGCATTATTCCACCCACTTTTTGCTGCTTCCTCTGGCATTTCACTCAACCTGCAGGATACCAAAAAGAAGAGCTTTGCCCAGTTGCAAAAGACTCCCAACGTCTCTTTGGAAGCAATTTTGTGCTGCCCAGGAGCCCAACATTTGCTAATGTCCCAGTTAGTGATTTGCCAGCCGCCTGTCTCCCCAGTAACCCAGTCCTCAGAAGGCAGCTGGGCCAGTGGGAGGTATGACTGCTGTTTGGATTGTCCCATGTGTAAGTTGATCTCTGCCTCTAATACATGTGGAGAGTAGCCAGCTGAGAAGGGAGGAATGCGACCCTTTGTGAACTAGTTTTCCTGAAATAAGACTGGATTTCTTGGTTAATTCCAGTTTCAGTGAACTTCCCAAACTGGTGCTTTCAACATAGGTTGATAATAAAACCCATCCTGCTCAGCCAATATGGCCAAGATAGTTAAGGAAGCAAAACTTCTAATTGGAGGGTATCTATGGAGAAGGAGGTGGGAGGAATCCTTTGTGTTTTCTGAGTTTGGTTGTTTCTATGCAGATGATTCATTACCCACACTAGGTAATCTCATCAGGGCTAGTTAAGGAATGGGATTTGCTCTCAAAGAAGAGGGTGCTTCTGACCGTCATTCTTTTTGTCTTCATTCGTGACTGAGGTCGGGCTGTCATTATCTCAACAACTGCAGCTATAGAAGGATTCTCTTTAAAGTTTCTTGGAAATAGAAGAAATTGTGTAGGAATCTGGCTTTTGAAGTCAGGACTTTGTTAGACATTGCGTAAATTTTTCAACCAGTAGCAAACTTTAAACAATATTTTAATTTTAAATGTCCAGACACCAGCTGAATTCTCTTTCTTGTTTTGGACAGCTGAATGTTTTCAGAGATGTTTGAAGGGGATTAATTGGCAACTTTATTATGATGAAAGTTAACCACCTTGTCTTAAAAGTATTTTGGGAATGAAGGCAAATATATGTGTCCCAGGATAATGTTATAAGATCCAATCTGAGTCGGTCATCAGGATCAAAGTTTTATTCTTCCGAGTTGTTGGGCTCGTGCTGGAGCTTTTACTCCCCCCCCCCCCGAGCTACATAGAGGTATGGAAGGTAAAGGTTCCCCTCGCACATGCATGCTAGGCGTTTCCGGCTTAGTGCTCACCTCTGTTTCTAAGCCAGAAAGGTATGTAAAAAGGATGAAAAAACTGCCCCCCAATTTTACCATCATCTAATCCAGTACCATTTATATTGTTTTGTGATTTTCTTTTTGTCTGAGGGAGAAAAAAGAAGCAGGATATGACACCCTCCACTCCTTAAGTCTGGGAACACTTAGAAAATGTCTGCTTTTCAGCTAGCAGGATCACTGGTAATAATGGTTTGTCACAGAACACAGTCACCAGTCATTTTTGTACCCACAAAGGATTGGCTAAGTGAGGACATAGTGGCAAGGATTACAAGTCTGGACTATGGAGGACAGCATTTTTCTACCTACTTCTATGGATCTTTGCTTGCATGTGCGTGTTTATATTGCTTGGCAGGTTGTGTTGGAATTTGCTGCCCGGTGATTCTGAGCTGCTACGTGGCACGCAAATATGGAGAACATTGTTCCTTGGGAATGGTTTAATAATAATAATAATATTGGACATTTATAGGCCGCCCTTTTCCCTGAGGGGACTCAGGGTGGCTTACAATCACAAAGGAAAGGGAGTGTAGGACAGTACAAAAAGAAATGTGAACAANTCATCGGACTCAAGGTTTTCCTTGAGTTTGGAGACGAGGTCCTTTGTGACCTCAAAATTAGAGCTGTTCTGGCTTCTGGTGACCACCGGAGCAACGAGATTCTTCGCTGGGATGACTGGGTGAACCACGCTAAGCTTTGAGCTGTTGTATTGAGGGAGTCTAGATAGAGCATCTGCCATAAAGTTCTCTCCCCCCCCCCCCCGGGATATACTTTAAAGTGAAATCGAACCTGTTAAAATGTTGTGCCCATCTCATCTGTTTGGGGGATAATTTTCGGGGAATTTTTAACGCCTCCAAATTCTTATGGTCAGTCCACACCTCAAAAGGATGTTTTGCTCCCTCCAAGAAATGTCGCCAGGTCATTAAAGCCCACCTGACTGCAAAATCCTCCTTTTCCCATATAGCCCATCGTCTCTCTGTCTCAGTCATCTTTCGAGAGGTGTAAGCACAAGGTTGTAGCTTTCCATCAGCATTTGCTTGTAGTAATACTGCCCCCACTGCAACGTCACTTGCCTCCGCCTGAACCACAAATGGCGAATCCATGTCTGGGTGTTTCAAAATAGGTTCTGCTGCAAATAGTCGTTGAAATTTTTCAAATGTGGCTTGACACTCCATAGTCCAATTTAAGGGCTTTCCTGGTCTAGGTTTAGCCTCCCCTTTTGATTTCAGGAGGTTCATAATAGGGAGGGCGATGCTGGCAAACGAGGAAATAAATTGACAATAAAAATTTGCAAATCCCCAAAAACTTTGCAACTGTTTGCGGGTGCGGGGGGGGGCCCATTCAGGGACAGCTTGGATCTTTCCTGGGTCCTTCTCGATGCCATCATGGGAGATGCAATACCCAAGGTAGTCAATTTTCTCTTGAAATTCACACTTAGACAATTTTGCATTCAGCTCTGATGCCCGGAGTTTTTTAAGCACTGAGCAGACCAGTTTCACGTGTTCTTCACGTGTTTCCATGTAAATAAGGATGTCATCAAAATAGACCATCATGCCTTTATAGAGGTGGTCATGCAAAATGTCATTAATTAATTGCATGAAAACAGCTGGCGCCCCCTGTAGGCCAAATGGCAGTATCCAGATTTGAAAACAACCAAGAGGGCAGTTGAATGCAGTTTTCCACTCTTCACCCTCCTTAATTCTGACTCTGTAATAAGCCTCCCGCAGGTCTAATTTCATGAAAATTCTTCCTTTACCCAACTGGGCTAGCATGTCCTTCATTAACAGCAACGGGTAGAGATTCTGAATAGAGATAGCGTTCAGATTTTTATAATTCACCACCAATCGAAAGGCGCCATCTTTCTTTTCTCTGAACATAACAGGGGCAGCCACCCGGGGCCTAGCAGGCTCAATGAAACCTCTCTTCAAATTTTTGTCAATAAAGTTTCTTAACTCATCCATATCACAAGGGGTCATTGAATAAATCTGAGGTTTCGGAAGTTTTACTCCGGGAAGGATATCAATGCTGCAATCAGTGGCACAGTGTGAGGGTAATTTATTAGATGCCTTTTCACTGAAAACATCTTTCAGGTCC